GGGCGCTCCGAGGCCGGCTCGCGGGACGTTTCGCTTAGCACGGCCCGGTCACCGGTCCCGAGGCTGCCCGGGTGACTTCGCCGCGTCAGCGGCCTCCGCCCCGCCCCCGGCTCCTCATTGGCCGGCACGCGCCCCACGTGACCACCGGCACCTCACGTTTCTGAAGTGTGTTTACTACGCCGGCCCAGACCCCGGCGTGAGCGGCGGTGCCGGGCGCTTCTGGACCGGTTGAGGCCGCTGGGCGCTCGGGACCTCAGTGCTCGCCGGGGAGCCAGGCTCGCCGCCTCGGCGGGTGTCCTCCACCTCCAAGGATGATCGCAGGGGGCTGCAGGCCTCGGGGGGAGGGGCAGGAGGCGGAGCCCAGCTCCCCCGGTTGGGGGGGGGGCGCTGGGAGCGGCTTCCATTGGTTGAGGCTCGCCGAGACCCGGATGAGCACGGGGCTGCGGGGAGCTCGCGAGTGCGCGCTCTGCTAGGCTCGGGCGCGCGGGCGCTCTGGCGGTGTGATCGAGGGGACCGGGGCACAAGAGCGCGCCCAGGGTTCTTCCCCAACAGTGTGAGGACGGTCTGGGGCCAGTGCGGTGTACCCCAGTACACCGAGAGTTCATGAGTCGTACAGGAGGAGAGCCACCGCAGTCCGGCGTGAATCGGAGTCCCCTGCTCGGGAAAGAGCGGACACCACCCCCTTTAGCCTTTTCTTCTGTTTGGCGCGGGTGCTTTTGCACTAGCTCCGAAGAAGACCGGTCCAGTACCAGCTAATTCAGCACTTCCCGGCGTTTCATAATACTGTAGGTACATCGTCAGTTTATTCACTCTGATCTATTACACGAGGTGTATTTAGAGGATATCGATTAGTTTTTTTATCAACTGGAGTTAATCTGGGAAGAGCAACCTCAACCGGGAAAGGCCTCCATCAGGTTGCCTGTCCAGAAGCCTGTTGGCATTTTCTTGATTAATAACTGATGTGGGAGGACCCGGCCAGTGTAGGTGGTACCACCGCTAGGCAGGTGGTCCTAGGCAGGTTGTATAAGAAAGCAGGCTGAGCAAACCCAGGGGAAGCAAACCAGTAAACAGCTCTCCTCCATGGTCTCTGTTTCAGCTCTGTCCCCAGGTTTCTGCTTTGAATCTCTGCCCTGACTTCTTCTCTCCATGAAGAACTGAGAATAACTTTTGATTCCCATGACCCCATCCCTGAATCCTAGCATCGCCTATGTGCTTATATTATTCATATTTATATATAGAGGGGGGAGGGAGGGAGAGTATGTGTGTGTGTGTGTATATATATATATACATATATATATCTATACTCTATTTATATATCTATACTCTATATCTATCTATCTATCTATCTATCTATCTATCTATCTATCTATCTATCTATCT